CTTATAAGTAAGAACTTTGGAGTTAAATTTTTAATTTTAGTAATTAAAATTTAATTTCTAATAATCTTAATTATTAAAAATAATAATATTCTAACAAATATCCAATATTTTTGCCAATTAATTAGTGCACATATTTTTTCTTTCTAACTATTGATATGTTGTGAATAAGTATTTAGTATGTTGATGTCAAAATTTATTTGAATCATGACCATTCATAGTAATGCTAAATCAAATGATTTGCATGATAAACAACAGTAAAAGGTCAGCTAAAACTTTATTCACCGGAAAAACCACTTGCTACCATTGACGAAACAAAAGCATTATACAAAAAACAAATTGTTTGGCATGGTTATAAGAGATTGATTGGAATTAAAAATTCAACAATCAAAAGATTGCATGACTTTTTGGCATCGTTAAAGATAATTTTTGAGCAAGGATGTAAATAAACAAAATGTTTGATAAATAATTCATGAATAAAGTTAATTTTTATTAATTTATTAAATTTAATAAATAATAAAAATAATATTTTAAGATTTATTAATTTAACGAATAAATTATAAATATAATAAAATTCATTCATTCATTTATAATAAAAAAATATAAATAAAAAACGATTGATGAATAGATTACATACTCAGTTTTTATTCATTTATTAAATTTAAGGAATAATTACAATAGCATTTCAAAATTTATTCATTTTGATCTGTTTACCACTCTCTTTTTGAGCAGTCAAGTCATAGTGCAAAAAAGTTGTTTACATAGATCCCTATGTTAAGCACGTTGCCCAAAATTGAGTCAAAGTATTGATGATTGTGTCGGAAATTTTGGACTAAAACTCATAGACCAAGCTAAGGTTGAGCCTAATCTTAAAAATTGTTTCCCAAGTTCACAAAAATCTACTTAAAAACTTGTGAATAATTAAACCAATGACAATTGGGACAATCCGTCCAAGTAAAAGCCTACCAACATTTAATTCTTAAACAAAATAAGCCGATACGGCAAAGGCCAAGGTTCAATTGCTATAGAATTATAGAGTTTATCCCTTGTTAACTTGATGCTGCTACAAGGGTTAATACAAAATGATAGAGGATCTATTTACTATTGACATCACTAACAGTTTAGAAGAAATTTTGGGTGAGAGAAGGTCTTATAACCAACAGCTTATTCTCTATTTGAAGATTGGATGAAAATTTCCATTTTGCACACCAACTTTCTCTTTTCTTAATCTTTACTTATTGCATTGGTCACGTCTCACCCAACATTCTCCAATACTTTTCTTACTCTAATCAAATTAAAAATTATATAATATTTTATTATAATTATAATCTTTATTAGTTATATTTTTTATAAAATAATTAATTAAATTAAAGGTATACAATTTGAAAACCAAAGTTCTTGATTGGTTGATAAACGTTTATATAATTTGACTTGACTAAATTATTGGTTAGATTTTCACAAATTTTTTTTTTTTAAAATCTGGGATTTCAAGAGCCACTTCTCTATTCATCAATCTTTTGATAAGTTTCATGTGGTTATTTTCTGCATTGAAGATTGGGTGGAAATTACCATGTTCCACACCATTTCTTCACAAAAAATTTTTTTTTTGACCTGTTTAATGGCCGATATATATCATAATCAAAGTTTAAATCTCAATAACTTTATTTAAAGAAATGCTATCCCCACCCAAATAATTTTGATTTGTTCAAATCTAGCCATCACACTTGGTCAAAATTTTTAATTTTTGTAAAGAAATAGCGAGAAACATGAAAATTTCCATTTCATCTTCACGTAGAAAATAACCACAAAAAATTCATCGAAAAGTTGATGAATGACTCCTAACATTCCAAAGAAACTTCTTAGTTTATATATTTTGTTTGGTGTTTAAATTAGTCGGCGAATTTGTACAATAATTATCCCCTCAAAAAATATGTCTAACAGCATTCACAAACCAAAGTGTTACTTGTATAAAGAAGTTAGTTCGCTTCATACAAATTTATTTTTCTTTTCTTAAATTCACTAGCCAACACTGAATTAGATCATATATAACCCTACACCCATTTTTTTTTTCAACCCACCGATACTTTCAAGGAAAAGACTTGGAAAATAACTTTTAGGCTTTGAGGATAAGAATGAGAGGATATGAATATTTTATTAATTTAATTATTAAATTATAAATTTAAAAAATAATTTAAAATTTAATCAGTAAATAATAAATTTTTTATCATAACTTTTTTTTTTATCTGTCTCATCCAGCAAAATTTTAGTGCGAGAAAACATAAGTACGTAAAGTTCTTTGTAGTTACATATTATACTTAATTGCTTCCCATGGGAAGCAAATTATGGTATGTTATAAACTCCTGAAGAAGTAACACTGAAAGTAATTTAGCTTTGTCAATAATTGAATGATTTATTTATAAAATATTAAATTTATAAGTTTAGTAATCAGAATTTAAATTTTAATAATTTCAAATAAAAAATAACATAACTTTAGTGTAAAATATGTTAAATTATTAAAAATTGAGAATAGGATTTTGGATGCATGCTTGGGAATAGGATTTCTCTTGAAAGATTTCGAAATCAACATAATAATATTCGAGCATGTATGCTGCTAATGGAAAAGGGTAATAAAACTTTATATTTCTCTTGAGGCTACGTAGCAAAAGAGAATGATTGAAAAGTTAGGTTATCCATCTTAATCAAAATGATATGACAATTTTTAGGGTTATGTTCATTTAAGAGTTTGTTCTTGCGGAATCCCCACGTTCCCTCTCCTTTTTTTTACACTTGTTTCTCGATTTTTATTTTATCTAATAAGGTAGAAAAATAGAACGTTGAGACTCGAATTTTTATCAATATTTTTTTAATTATCAAATTAAAAAACTAAAAACTATTTACTTCTCATTTTAATGCTAAAGATATAACAAAAATATAATATGACTATTATATCTCACGTCATCTGCATCCACATTTTGTACTAGGTATGAACAAATTTAGACTTAGTTTAGTTGGGATTTTTGGTTTTTTTTTTTTTGGCTTTTTAATTAATTGTTATAAAGTAAAAATTAATGGTGAAAAGTAATCGAATAATTATGATACAAATGCACTAATTGTAATTTTTATCGTGAAAAATGTTATTTAATATGTGATAAACCATATGATTGTATAACAATGAATATGCTCATTGGTTCGTATTTTTTTATATGCACCTAATGTTTGATTATAATTATAATTATAATTTTTATTAATTATATTTTTATGAGAAAAATCCAAGAATTAATTAATTTAAAGGTACACAATTTAAAACCAAAGTCCTTGATTGGTTGATGGACGTTTATATAATTTTGTTTGACTGAATTATTAGTTAAATTTAAAAAAAAAAAATTTTAAAAAATTCTAAACTAAAAAATTTAATTAGGATTTCAATAGTCACTCCTCTATTCATCAATTTTTTTAATAAACTTTATGTGATTATTTTCTACATCGAAGATTGGATGGAAATTTCCATGTTCCACACTATTTCTTTACAAAAATTTAAAAATTTGACAGTGTGATTATTAGTGTATATCAATAATCAAAATTTAAATATCGACAATTTTAATTAAAAAAAAATGCTATCCCCACTCAAATAACTTTGACTTGTTCAAATTTAGCCGTCACACTTAATAGAAATTTTTAATTTTTGTAAAGAAATAACGTGGAACATGGAAATTTTCATTCCATCTTCATGAAAAAAAAAACCAAAAACGTTCACCAAAGATTGATGTATAGCTCCTTACAAAGAAGCTTATTGGTTTAGATATTTTATTTGGAGTTCAAATTACTCAGCAAGTTATTCGCATAATAATTACCCCTCAAAAAAAATGATGAATCTTAATTTATAATCTAATCTCTCTTAATTATTTTATAGCAATCATAATCCAAAATGTTAATTATATAAGAAAGTTGGATTGCTTCATACAATTTTATTATTATTTTTTGTTCTTAAGGCATGAAATTTTGTATTTCATTTCAAGTTATCGATTTAATTCTATATTAAATTTATTTAATTGTGTATAAATTTATTAGTTAATTTGTTTCATTTACTCGTATAACAATAAATATATTTATGAATTTGTTTTTAATATGTTAATAATATAATTTTTAAAATTTTTATAAATGAAATTAAAAATTTGTAATATTTTTAATTAATTTTTTATTTTATAAATATATCTTAAATATATTTTTCACTTTATAAATTTATTTGTAAAATTAAAAAATTTTATTAGGTATAAATGATAAAATTTCTTTATATTCATTTGTTGATAAGAGGACAGGACATGACCTTGTCCCACTGTTTGGAAGGGTGCCCTTTCTTTTGAAAATTTTGAAAAACTTAATTGAAAATTACAAATTGAGAAAATTAAGAGGTGAGCAAAGATTAATTAAAAATTAAAGGGAAATTACTTCTTGGTTTTTCTTAGGACTTTGATATCAACCGGAGGAGTTTGATATTGAAAAATTACTTTCTGGTACATCTTAGGAGAAAATTAATTTTTTTTATATGCATAATGCAATCATGCTTTCTCTTTGGTAGACTTTAGATGAAAATTTCATGTACATATTTAGTATTTGTTCACTTTTTTCCCCGAAATTTCCCATGAAATTTCTGTAGAAGAAAATATGATCCATTAACAAGCTGTAGACAGGAAATAACTTTGGCACGAAAGCATATAAACAGTACGGCCTACGACCTTTTTTTCCTACGCGTCTCTTTTGCTTTGATGATGCATAAGATTCTTTCATCTTTCATTGAAAGTGAAGTGGGATATCATTGCAACGTTTTAGGAAAGTTCATTAGCGCAACGTTTTAGGAAAGTTCGTTAGCGCAACCTTTTAGGAAAGTTCATTAGGAAAGTTCAACGTTTTCATTGAAAGTGAATTAAGCCTTGCTTTCACCACAACGCTTTATTTATCTTTCATCCTCATCTAATTTCACTGTTTGTTGTTTGCAATCACTTATTATTTTTTTTTTTATCTTCTTCGAATCCTTCCCTTGCAAAAAAGAAAAAAAAAATCCTTCCCCTTCAAATCCTTTCAATTTAGTTTTAGCACCCTTCTTCTTTCCATTGTTTGCATTCACTTCCTTTGGTCTTCTTCAAATTTCCTTGTCAAAAACTAAAAAAAATGGCCGGGGCTTTGGTGGGTGGAGCTGTTCTCTCTGCTTCCCTCCAGGTTATTTTCGACAGGTTGGCTTCTCGTGAGATCATGGACTTCATTAGAGGGAAGAAACTTGAAGATGGCCTTCTTAAGAAACTGAAGCTAACGCTCATGTCATCTAATGCAGCGCTGGAATATGCTGAAAATGAGCCTATTACCAACAAGTCTGTCAAACTCTTGATTGATGAGCTCAAAGATGCTGTTTATTGTGTGGAGGACCTCCTCGATGAGATCGCTGCTGAAGCTCTTCGAAATAGGATGGAATCCCAGGGTCAAACTAGTATGGTAACGAAGGTAAGCCGCTTTTTCTCTTCTCGCAATCCTTTTGAAGAGGGGATGGAGTCAAAGCTTGGGGAGATCCTTGAGAAACTAGAAGATCTACTCAACCAAGACGGTATCCGCAGTTTGAAAGAATATTGTAGAGGAGGAAAGAAATTTCAAAGATCCCGCGAAACTTCTTCGGTTGACGAATCTGGTGTTTTTTACGGCAGAGATGGTGAAAAAGAAGCAATAATGAAGTTGTTGCATCCGGAAAATCTAACTGAAAATCAGATAGATGTGATTCCAATAGTGGGTATGGCCGGGGTTGGTAAAACAACCTTTGCACGATTCATCTACAACGACGTGAGAGTGGCGGAATGGTTTGACCTCAAAGCATGGGTGTGTGTTTCAGACCAATTTGATGTTTCCAGAGTAACCAAAAGCATTCTTGATGCGATCACTTCTGGTCGTGATGATAGTCAGAATCTAGACCAGCTTCAACTTAGACTAAAGGAGAAGCTGTTGGGTAAGAAGTTTCTATTTGTTTTAGACGATGTTTGGAACGAGAATTATGAAGTCTGGGACGATCTGAGAAGACCTTTCACTTCTGGGGCACAAAACAGCAAGATTTTCGTAACAACACGTAGTGAAAGGGTTGCATCCATTATGAAGACTGTTCAAACTTGTCCTCTTGGTATCTTATCTGATGGTGATTGTGGAAAGATATTAGCAAAACATGCATTTGTTGATGGAATTCCAAGCATGCATCGAGATCTGGAGGTAATCGTTGAAGCCATTGCCAAAAGATGCAAAGGCCTCCCTCTAGCAGCCAAAGCACTTGGAGGTCTTCTGCGTTGGAATGATGCTGATGAATGGAATGAAATATTAGACAGCGATTTGTGGGACAAACTAGAAAAGGAAGGTACTACTATTCCTCCATCTTTAAGATTAAGTTATTATTATCTTCCTTCAAATTTGAAGCGCTGCTTTGCATGTTGTTCCATTTTTCCTAAAGATTATGAATTCAAAAAGGAAGAACTCATTCTTGTATGGATGGCTGAAGGTCTTTTACACATTTCCCAGAAAGATAGCAACGCGGAAGGTAACAAGTACTTCAAAGATTTAGCATTCAGGTCATTTTTCCAACAATCAACAAGGGACAAATCTTGCTTTGTCATGCATGACTTAATTAGTGACTTAGCTAAATCTATATCTGGAGAATTTGTTTGCAGATTAGAAGGTAGTGGTGGTTCATTTGAAATAGCTAAAAATACTCGTCATTTGTCCAATGTTCAAGAACAATATGATGTGCTTCGGAAATTTAAAACATTACCCGAGGCAAAAAGTTTGCGAACATTCTTGACTTTAGAGTCATCTTCATTCCGTCCTTGTGTTACCAGCCAACTGCTTGATTTGCTAACAAAATGTAGATGCTTACGAGTACTTTCTTTGGCTAAATATCGTAATGTCAATGAGTTGCCAGAAGAAATTGGCAATTTAAAATATTTGCGATATTTGAATCTCTCTCAAACTTTAATTAAATGCTTGCCGAACTCTTTGAGTACACTGTATTATTTGCAAACATTAATATTGTTTGAATGCTTGGAGCTTGTGAAGTTGCCAAAAGACATGTGCCGATTGATCAACTTGCAACATCTCGATATTCGGAAAACAGAGTTAGCAAGGATGCCTGAAGGAATGGATAAGTTGAAGGATCTTCGAATATTAACAGATTTTGTTTTGGACGACCAAAATGGTTCAAGCATTAATGAGTTAGGAAAGCTCAAGCATCTACGTGGAAGCCTTGCCATTTTAGGTTTAGAAAATGTTGCCCATGCAAGGGATGCCAAAGATGCCAATTTGAAGGATAAGAAGGACCTTAAGGAGTTGGAGTTGCTGTGGAGTTCTGATCATGATAATATTGATAAAAGGCGTGAAAAAGAAGTACTTGAACAACTGGAGCCCCATACAAACTTGGAGCGTCTTGTCATTAGACGTTATAGAGGTACAAGATTTCCGGAATGGATCGGACATTCTTCCTTCTCAAAAGTAGTTTCTGTGGAGTTAAGCGATTGTGAATATTGCTTGTTCTTGCCACCGCTTGGGCAATTATCATCTTTGGAATCTCTCTCTATTTCAGGGTTTACCAAAGTAGCAACAGTGGGTGATGATAATGATGGTTTCTACGGGCATTGTGATGCATGGAGTAAACCATTTGGATCTCTTAAAACTCTAAGCTTTTCGAAAATGCCAGATTGGAAAGAATGGAAGCTTTGTTCGAGAGATGATGCTTTCTCTAGTTTGCAAGAGCTAATCATAAGAGATTGTCCCAAGCTAACCAATTCTCTGCCCAAGCACCTGCCATCTTTGACGAAACTTGAGATCGATTCTTGTGGAAATCTTGGTGGCTTGCTTCCTAAGGCACCAAGCATTTGCGAAATTCAGTTACGGCTTTGCGATGCATTGCAATTGGTGCCATTGCCTTGTGGACTTCGAGAGTTGTATATTTCGAATCGGATTATCAATGATTCCATAATGGAGCAGATGACGGAACGCTGCACTCGTCTTGAAAAGTTAACTATGTGCTGTTGTTCTAATCTCAGATCCCTTCCTGAAGGTAGTCTTCCTAACACGCTAAAGGAATTGACAATCATGGATGGTGTCTTGGATTGTTTCAAAATCCCCTTGTACACATCCCTTGAATCCTTGGAGATACTAGATGGAAGGTGTCATCCCCTAGAATCTTTTCCGTTAGGATCATTTCCTATGCTAAATTATCTTTTTTTAGAATGCGAAAACTTGAAGTGGATTGGTGCATCATCAGTGGGCCCTCACCACCAGCATCTGTCATTATCTGCCACCAATTTGACGTCACTTAGTCTTTACGATTGCGTAAATTTAAAGTCATTTCCAGATCATATGCACTGCCTCTTCCCATCCCTTGAGGAATTGGAAATATCAGATTGTCCAGAAATAGAGTCATTTCCAAGAGAGGGTTTGCCCTCCAAATTAAAAACTATTTCTATCAGAAGAAGTGAAAAGCTGATTGCGAGCATGCGGAGGGAATGGAGTTTGCAAACACTCTCTTCACTTACAAGTTTAGAAATCGACAGTGAAAAATTAGAGATAGAGTGTTTTCCAGATGAACATCTGCTTCCCTCTTCTCTTATTCATCTTCACATATGGGGTCTTCCAAATCTTAAGCTTTTGAACAGCAGGGGCTTCCAACACCTCACCTCTCTTCGCCAATTGCATATCAGCCATCTTTCGAAGCGCGATTACTACAGGACAACTAAGTTCCATTCACTCAAAGTCACAGGTGCAAAAGCGTCTTTTCCAGATGAACATCTGCTGCCCTCTTCTCTTACCGATCTTCACATTTATTGTTTTCCAAATCTTAAGCTTTTGGACGATAAGGGCTTTCAACACCTCACCTCTCTCCGCAATTTGTATATCAGCCGATGTCCAACACTCCAATCCATGCCGGCAAAGGGGCTTCCTGACTCTCTTTCTTATATTTACATTTCCCGTTGTCCTTTACTGAGAAAAAGTTGCGAGAAGGGGAAAGGTAAAGATTGGATTTCCCACAACCGTGTCATTAAAATTGATGATAAACTCATTATATAGCAAGACTCAGAAGCTAAATGTATCAACATTTCCCTTTGGCATTATTAACGCAATCTAACTCAGGGTCAGGTACTCCTTCAATTTTCATTTAATTTCACTACTTATTTTACTTATTTATTTATTCATTTTTCTTTAAAAAATTCTTAATTGATAGAAGTTCGTGGACTGTTTTTTTTTTTTTTCTTGAATTCTAATGCCAAATTCTAAATTACTTTTATGATACAAGGGTTGACTATTGCTTAATTTGCTTCAAAATCTTATATAGCTTTCCTTGATTCTTTTTTTTTTTTTTTTAAGAATCAGTTGCAAATTCAGTTTATGGTTCTCATTCAAATGAAGTTCCCTGTTGTAGGATTTGCTTTAATCTGGAGATTAATGGCCTCATTTTTCTATCCCAGAATTATCTGCATGGAAGTTTTCAATACTTGGATGGATTGGCGTCAAGCTCTGCATACTTCATTTGAAATTTTGGTTTCTTAGAGCTGCAATGTTGATTTGCTCAGATTTCACCTCAATAAAGAATAAGGATTTCAACTCCTTCCTCTCTTCTCACGAAATCATTGGCAACCATATTCTCTAATCAGACCAGAACCGCTGTCTTACTTATCATGATGATTCATTCAATCCAAGGACTGCTCCTTTTGAAAGAGCTCTTAGTTTGAAGGTTTTCAGTAGTAGTAACTGTGGATCATAACTTCCATAGGTATGTTTTTTGAGCAACTAAGTCACTTGGTTTTGGTGATGAGTGACTTGAAGTCAGATAAAAAGGGCTGCAATAATGTAAGAATCTTCTTATGCAGACATGGATGTATATTGCCATACCAGTTTTTTTATATGCTGGAGAGAGGATAATTCGAGCTATAAGATCTGAATTTTCTGGCGTGGAAATTTTGAAGGTAATGTTGATTAGATTTGTCTCAATTTCTGCAGCAATTACTAAATGAGAAGAGAAGTTTAGATGCACATCACCTTGATAAAACCCTCCCTTTTGTTGCTTCTAATTCCAAATGTAGGCAACCCTATATCCAGGAAAAGTGTTGTCCCTCAAACTGAGAAAACCAGAAGGTTTTAGTCACAAGAGTGGCATGAAAATTTTCATCCAGTGCCCTCAAACATCACCTTTTGAATGGTAGATTATATGATATATTTTGAAGCTTTTATTCCCTCTTTGTTGATTGGCAATAGCTTATTGTTCAATAATCTTTCAATTTTTTATTCTGTAGCACCCTGAGCGATCATCTTATACTTTTTTTGTTTCACAGGCACCCATTTTTCACTAACTTGCGGACCAGAAGATGATCAATTAAGTGTGCATATTAGAACTCTTGGAGACTGGAGCTATCAGCTATATGGTCTCTTCCAGGAGGTAAATATATGTGAAAAAATTAACAGGTTCTATATTCAAATAAGAAAGCAAAAACCTGAATGAACTATACTTTCAATCTTTGTTTTCCGGGCAAAACCAACAGGACTGAAGCTGTATCCCAAAATTTATATCGATGGACCTTATGGTGCTGCTTCCCAAGACCATGTCAAGTATGACATTGTGGTTATGGTTGGCCTTGGGATAGGAGTCACAACTTTCATTAGCATCCTAAAAAATGTTGCTAGCAGTCTCAAAAAATCAAACATTGATCATGTAATAACTTCACTTTTATTCTACAAGCTGTTCTTATAAAACATGATTCAAGTAAGCTTCAGTTCTTGGATTGACAGAAAGTGTTTCTAACCATAATGCAGGCAGCTTGCAGGGAAGGCAGCATTGACAAAGGTCCATTAAAAGCTTAACTTTATTTGGTTACAAGATAACAAAGCTCTTTTACTTGGATCATGGATGTCATGAAGGAAAAATCAGAAACAAACCAAAAGCAGCTAAATCTCAACAGAATCTTTATTAATTCATTGAACAAACTGAAATATTTTACTTAGATGCATCCTAGTTATTATGCTTAAACTGTTAAGCGTGAAAATCTTCAAAGCTTGATCACAAAACTTAGCTGAATTGGTTCATGCAGTCACTCCAAGAGATGGCATCTACTATATGGGTTCAAATCCCAACACCTGCAACTCCTCTTATCTCCAACCTGGCCTTCTTTGTTAAAAAAAAAAAAAAATTGAAGTCTTTTCCTTAATCATTGTCTATAGTCTGTTGTAGAGGTGTTCAATTTCCTAACCACTTTATATCGAGATGCACAGTCGACTTTAATCAGCATTATACAATTACTGTATCATGCCAAGAATGGAATTGACATTGTGTCTGGAACCACAAATTTTAGATTTCATTTGGAAATCTCCATTTGAGAAGGTGGAGTTGAATTTCAAACGCTGTAGAAATTATGTGGTAATGCTCATAAGTACATGACTTATATAATTCCATTTAAATACATATATTTGGTAAATTTCTCTTGAATAGTGAATTCCAGATACATCTTTTTATACTCTCTTTAATGCAATGACTGCAATCATCCTTAAAAATTGAACATCAAATCAAATTTATAATTCACTCTGCCAAATTCTTGTTTCCAAGTGAAAACGTTTATATTTTAACAATTCTTGAAATGGCAGGAATGGCTTTTTTCTGAAGACAAGAAAGAATGTGGAACATTCTCTCATGCTGAAGAATGGTACTGTCATAAGCTACTCGACATCTTGCCCTTTCAATGAACTTGAGCATAATGAAGGAGGACAAGTTGTGGGTTAACTTCGAATTGCAGCAATCAAGGAATTGAAGTTGGTTGAATTTGATTTGTTGCCTTTTAAGGGACTGCTTTGTGGTCTGCACAATGTGAAAATTAGAGATTGCAATACTCCCAGCTCAAGGAACTAGTATGGTGTCATTCCAATGGAGAGGTGGATACCTGCATAATTCACTCTACGCTAGCTGTGAACCGTTTAGTCATCACTGAGGTGCAGTATTTCTCTCTTTTTATGTAGCAATTTCATAATTTATTTAATTGATTTTATTCAATCTTCATAAAGAGAAAAAGTACTTGTTGAGTTTTTTGGGTAAAACAAATCAAATATTGCAAACGATTGTGGCGTATTGTATTCACTTCAAACACCATTAATGTAAATATTGATGATTTTGCTTTTAGATGGAATTAAATCTACTTCTGATACTTTAATTTTTGGCAAATTGCTTTACTTTTACAGGCTACCATCACCCTAGCTACTTTTGAGCGTTGTTGCAAATTCTAATTCATGATTGCCATCAAAATCAAGTTCTTCTTCCATAAGTTGCCAGGCTGGAGGTGCAATAGCTCATTTTTCTATCCTGGAATTATCTGCATGACAGCTTTTGATGGTTCGACAGCTTTGCGTCAAGCTCTGCATAGTTCATTTTAAATTTGGATTTCCTGAAGCAGCAATGCCTATGTGCATAGATTTTAAATCAATAAAGAAAAATGACCTTTACTCCTTCATTCTCTTGGATGGTATGAAATCCGTGACTGCCATATTCTCTAGTTCATAATGCAAGCTCTTTCTTCCTTTCCATGATTCATTCAGTTCAAGGACTACTCAAGCAACTTGAACAGCTGCTCCTCTTAAAAGATCTCTCCACTTGAGGGTTTTCCTGATTAGCTAGTATGGATCCTAGCTTTCATGGGTACATTCTTTTAGCAACTAAGCCATCTAATTTCAAGAAATTTTATATTGCATTTGTCAATTTACAGTTTAGAAGATGAATTTGGATTTCAAATGTAGTAGAAATTATGCGTATTACTCGTGAATATATGAGTTGTATAATTACATTCGAGTATATGGATTTATAGAATGACTCAAAGTAATGAATTTAAAATACCAAGATGACAAAGTGAATTCCAAATGCATCCTTTTATACTCCCTCAAATGTAATGACTACACTCATTCTCATAAAATTGACAACCAAATCAAATTCAAATTCACCCTCTCAAATACTTGTTTCGAAATGACAAAGCTGTGTGTCTATGCTTTTTGTTGGTTCACTCTAACAGGCCGTCAGTTGCTTTTTAAGGAATGCCTCATCACTGGCCTCCTGTTACTTCTGAAATTCTGTTACAAATTTGAGTTGATTGTTTTCATTTATTTGAATATTTTTCCTCTTATTTCACAGCCTTTTGAATCCAATTCCTTCTTATGATTTAGCTGGTTTAACAATAAAATGTGTATTGAGTTTTTATGATTTTTGCAGTAGGAGATTGAGGCTGGTAGAGAATGAAGAATCAGTTTTGGCTCAGAGGTTCTACTTTGAGAGTGAAGATGAGGAAGCTGAGGAAAGTGTTTAACAGACATAAACGAGAAGATGATGGAAATGTATCTAATGCTTCTTCAGCAGCAGAACAACCCTAAGTCCCACGACACTTCATGGCCTCAAAGCTACAGGTCATTTCTCTTTTCATACGCTTGCATGATTGTATTGCTGCTCTGTTTCTCTTTGCTTTGTTCTATGCACTTTCAAAAGTTAAGTTTCATAGCAGTCTGGCTTTTTTTCTTTTTTTCAAGTATTCTTTTACTTAATCTTCAAGAGCTAAGATTAGAAATAGCCACAAAAAAAATTTTAATGTTTACTTTTCTCTTTCTGGGATAGAAATTTTTGTTAATATCATTACTTTGATTTGCTGTTCTTGATGAGGATTAGCTTGTGTGTTTGGTATAAGAGATGTTACATGAAAGAGTATAAAAATAAAGTACGGGTAGATTTAAGCATATCTTTAAGCTTGCAAATAGTAGCATATTCTGGTATACAAAATTTTGCCAAATTTGTGTAAGTTGAAAAGTACTGAATTCAAAGTAAGCTAATATTATTTCTGTAGAAGTGGATGTGACATTAGTAAGTGTTATAGAACCTTTAATCTGTGTAGTATTTGATAGTTGAATATGTAGAAAAACACTTATTTACAGTTGGTTGTAATTTTGTAGTCTGTATATTTATATTTATATCTCTAGAATTAAGTATTTGTATCTTTAGAATTAATGAAAAAAAATTAGGATAGATAATTCCTCAATTATAGGATCGGTTTTTAGGAAAATTTAGTTTTCTAATTTACCCACTAGTTGGTTGTTTTATATAAACCTAAGGTGCCTGTATAATTCTTTGTGAACAGTTTTTCAATATACATTCAATTTTACTCTTAGTTTTTTACACAATTTTATTTCTTAGTTTTTTCACATCATATCAGAGCCAAGACTTTATTTCTGTTGCCCTTTCCTAACTTGTCATGTGGAAGGCTTCTTTCATCTTCACCTACATGTGATGGGGGCCTGTTGAAGTGGGTTATCCCACGTCTAATAAATTTTCAATTTTCTGTAGCCTTATATTCAAGTTGGACCCCTCCACTTCTGCCAATTGATTTTAAGTTGGATATTTAATAGAATCCAGTGAAAAAAGGTGTTATTTAGTCACATCTTTGAGGCATTGCTTCCATTTCGAGCATCAAATGTTTATGGCTTCTGTTAAAGTTTCAGGCAATCTATTGATCTGTACAGTAGTATACCATCTTCAAATATCCGGTTTTTGTGCGCTCCTGCGCCTTCAAGTTAGGCAGTTTCTTTCTTGCCTCAAAGGCACCTCTGCTACCAACGGTAGATGATCAAATACAGCCACAAAGTCATAGTTCGTACTCTCTGTTAACTCTGATCCATCAAGTAGACAATCTTTAAGAGTCGATGAGAAAACATCTAAGATCTCCCATGAACATCCAGAGCTCATATGGGCAAGCTTTGCTAAATGGTTAGTTGCATAACTTTTGGCCATTCTCTTAGATTGGTGAAAATTTTAAGCTGTTTGGTTCTCTTGAATGTTGCATTTTGAGAATTACTTCATACCCGAAAAAGGGATGTTAACATTGCTTTGTTTCTGGCAGATAAGTAAAATTGTTTTTTGCTTGTGGATTATAGGGGAGAGTGGAAATAATTTCATCCAATTCTTCACATGCTGTGGTAGAAAATCGACAACCTTATGATGAAATAAAATAGCCTTGAGCAGATCATTGTTCCTTTTGTTATAAGATTTCATTGAGGTTATATCATTTGGTGATTTCCAATATTTCCCTAGTAATGGTGACTCATAATTGCTTAGTTCTCGTTAATACTGTTCCTATTATCCTTTCGGAGTTTTTCAAGTTATTGAGATGTATTATCGGAGCTTGAACTTTGTAGATCTCAGCAACTTACAGAACTTGACAATGGCAGGGTAATTTTATCCTTTCTGTGGGTTACACTATGAAAATGTGTTTTTTTGTTGTACCAGAAAGGCTCACAACCCTCCATGTCTTATTGCTTGCTGTTTATGTTTTTCTCTTTAAGTTCTTAATGGCTAAGTGAAAAGTATTTCACCACATTCTTAACAGACATTCTATCAAGCTCTTCCTGTAATGGACTTACAACAAAGCAAATGCTGGTAACTTGAGGCAATAACTAACTACTTTTATCCAAATTTTGGAGGCCTTTTTGCTAGAAATTTTATGCTAGTTTGAAGTTAAAACCATGCCAACTAGGTAAAGTCATTAGTGCACCATTTTTAGAACATACTTCATAATTTGAACAAATACTTTTCTGATTGCTTTATTGAAGTCGGGCACAACTAAGGTTAACATTGTTTCTTCTTTGGTTGGTGCTAAAAGTAGTGTCCATAGTACATTAGGTGACTTTTGCTTTCAGGGATATAAATTAGACATGCAACTAGCAATCTTCAATTTTTATGCATTTTGTGCAAGGCTACCTGTTGCTATTTGAGGTATGCCTCAACATTTGCTAGAAATTTTTGAGTTGATTGTCTCTAGGTAATTAGGGCCCCCTTCTGATTTGCTTAGTTTTTCTTAATAGTGCTTCTATTATCCTTTCAGAGTTTTTCAAGTTATTGAGATGTATTACCAGAGTTTCTACTAAAGCACCTGCAACTAATCAAATGCAGGTAACTCTTGCCTGTAACTAATTATTATTATCAAACATTGAAGGTCTTTTTTCAAGAAATTTCATACTAATTTGAACATGTTATACGGTAAACTTTTGGCTTTAATGATGTCAGCCGCAACTAAAGCTTCAATTGGATGCTTCTATGGTTAGTGCTGAAAGATATGTTTCCATAACACGGAGGTGACTTCAAGTTTCTGGGATGGATAGTATGTAGACTAGCAACTAGTAATCTTCTATGTTTGCGCATTGCATTCCAAGCTGGAAGTTGCTATTTGAGGTATGCCTCATAACTTGCTTCCTGTTATAAGAAATTATTGCAAACTTGAGTCGATTATTGCTGGTTAGCTAATCTATTTTGGAGCTAAGATAGAAGCTTGCTTTTTTCAAGATTATGCACCTTGAAAATTGTCTACTACCAGCTTCAGCAAGTGGTGGAATGTGTTTGTAGCAAGTGGATATGCTTCATCTTAAATTTTGGATTGTCAAAGGCAACCTCGAGGATGATCTTACATTGTTTCGCACTCCTCGTATTGGTTATGATTGGGATATTGATCCCTTGCTTTTGGAATTATTAGAGTTGAATAACAACCACAATCCCAACTACACACCTGGCAGGCATTTTCATAAGTGTTCTACAGATTCAACAGAAAGGAGGGAGAGGAAGGTGTGGAAGAAGTCCTTCTCAAACCCATTGTGTATGCTGAATCGAAAATGAAATGTTTTATGTGAATGAAGTGAGATATCGATTATAAACTTTTGTTAATATGTTGTAAACTTTTGGGGTGAATCGTTTCCCCAACGGACTTGACATAGTTGGAGCTTTCAAGAACAACCGAATTATCTGATATATATCATCAATATGTTTTTTTCATCCAGATATGCTTCCTGTTTTTGTCTTCAGAGTGATTAAAGGTAGCAACTGACCAAAATTGAAGTAGTTGGTCGGACTTGCATGACAAACAAGCTCATAATCAAACTGAAATGGTAATTATTGATCTTCAATTTGTTGTGCTGTGTTTCAGGTTGCCACTTCCATCCTGTTACTTGTATTGCAATTTTGAGTTGGTTATTGTCGTTTATTTAAGTTAGGATTAATGTTGTTCAACTTAAATTATTGTGAAATCTTTAATGTAATATTTGAATTTAAAAAATTTTGAATACAATATTTAAAACTGTGAATTTATAATTAATGTGGTATTTATCGTAATGTGATTAATTTTAAATGAAAATACGTGGTAAATAAATAACTTTTTAATTATTACATTAATTAACATTTCATAGTTTAAGTATTATATTAAAAATTTTTAAAGTTTACACTATAATTCAAAAGCAATTGATGACACTATCCTTTTATTCAAGTTACTTCTGTATCCAAATTTACTTTTTTTTTTTCAAGATTTATGCATTATGAATGTTTTAACCGTGATGGAAAAAAAATTTTTTCCTTAACAAATTTTGCTCACAGACAATGGTTATGAATGATGTATTTGTGATAAAAAAAAAATTATGATTCGATGAATTCAAAAAATGCAATGCATAAGGCATAACACTACGCTTGGTTATACTGTGATGGATTATTATACAATTAGCTAGAATTTTAAACTCTTTGAATAAGTTCCGCTTTCAATAATTGATACGTTTTTCCTTTGAAAAAAAAAGGTGTAACAAAAAACTTAAAAATGAGGTTGTTTAATTTAAAGGTTTCGAATTTAAATTTTAAAAAAACTAAAATATATAAGATAAAAATAAATTTCTCTCACATTATGTAATCTAAAATTATATATAATTATTTTAATAATTAGGATTATTATTTATATATAGATAAAATTGTTAAGAAAAATTAACTATCAAACCCTTTATATATATATATATAATGTTTGATAATGTCAACAGTTTATAATATATTGTTTATAATAAAAAAGTACACATGACACATTCTTAGAATCTTGCAAATGAAAATAATATATTGTTTGATTTTAAATATTTCTTGTCACATATTTGCAATTAATGCATGACAAAAATAGTTAACAGTAAATAACCTTATTTACTAAATAATTAAATAACCTTTTCTACCTAAAAGTACTTTTTTTTTTGTTTTATAAATTATGACCTAACTTAAGTCTTTTTCATTATTATTCTTTTGGCCCTTAAGTAGCTAATTAAATAAGTAAATATGTATATAAAGTATACACTCAAATTTGTAGAAATTTACCGGTAGAACTTATATCTAAATGAATTTATAGTGCATCATTATAAAAGCTAATGAAACGATGGATGTGAATTACCATGACTACAAATAATTTTCTGGTTAGGTTAAGAAAATAAAAATATAAAAGGAAAAAAATCACTTGCAATGGACACATGTAAAAATTTTAGTATTTAAAATTATCAATTATTAAATTGAAACTACAAATTCAATGATTTATAAATAAAATAAACGACTATTAATATAAATAAATTTTGTCAAAGTGTAAATTGGAATTATCAGAAGCCCACCTCAAGAAAGAGAACCCAAAAACAATCCTTTTGGTTGTAGGAATGGGGTAGGTGAAGTCAAGAAATAAAAATAGGGGAAAGGAAAGAAGCCCACCAATTTTTTTTTTAATTAAGTTCTGTTAGTGAAAAAGCCCACCTATATTGAAAGAGAGAGGTGTGACTTCATAATTAATTGACGGGTGAAGGTTTTGTCAGGGAAAAGTTTGGGCAAAGACAAAGATTGGAGTCATTTTCAGCGTTTGTTTCATCTACAACTGTTTTCCGCTGATCCAATTAGATCTAAGAAAACGGTGCTACAGCAAGAATATAATATAAAAAATTGATATAAAATTAATATAATTTAAAATTTTAATAATTATTATATATTTAATAAAATAAATATATATTTTATATTTATATGTTGACATAAATTATAATATATAATTTTTGTATAAAATACGATATTAATATATAAATTTTAATATTAAGTCAAATATATATAAATAGTCATTTAATTTTGGAGATTTATTTAAAATGATTACTTAAATATTAATTTTTTTAATTTAATCATTTAAATTTGAATAAGTGTATTTTTTTATCACTTAACCATTAATGACTAACCATGTGCTAATGTGACACTTATACTATAGTTGTCAAATGTCTTATGGCATTACCATATTATCTAACAAGTCACAAGACATTACTGATATGGTGTTATAAAATTAAAAATTAATAATATTAAATTTTAGGCACTTAACTTTTTTAAAACTTCTATTTTAGTCACACAATTTTAAAAATTTATAATTTAGTCACTAATGAATAAGTCCACAAATTTTATAAAAAAACATAAATAAGTATTTGATATTTTTATTGCATAAAATTAAATTATAAAATTTTTATTTTATTTTAATTATACCATTTAAATTTTAAAAAATGAAAGAATATTATTCACTTTAAAAAATTGCTAAAATAATGTTATTTCACAACTTTGTCATTCAGTTTATCCAAATAAACTCAACTAAATATTTAATGCTTCATAATGTTGAGATTTAATTTTAATTTTATGTAATAAAATATTAAAGAAAATATAGATAACAAAATAAAATAAAAATAATTTATTATATTAAATTTTACAAATCATTGGTGATTAAATTGTTATAAAGTTACATTAAGGGTGACATCTAAATATTAATAATTTCACAAACAATGGTGACCCAATGTAAAATTTTAAAATAGTTACTTAAATTTATTTGGATTAATTGAACAATAAATATTTGAAATAATAATATTTTGGTAAATCTGACAATTGATTAATATTCTTTTATTTTTCAAATTTAAATGGTATAATTATAATAAAATAAAATTCATAATTTAATTTCATACAATAAAAATATTGAATATTTCTTTTTATTATTTTATAAAATTCAATGACTTATTCGAGTATTATTCTAATATATTTCAATAAATAACATAAATAATAAAATATTTTATTATATTAGTTTTCATAAACATTGATAATCAACTCATTATAAATTCACAATGATAATAAGTCATTTAGAATGAAGACCAAAATATTAATAAATTTCATATTTCATAATGTCAAGGTTTTAATTATAATAAATTTATGTTATCTATATTTCTTTTAATAATCTATTGCATGAAATTAAATTTACGAATTTTTATTATAATTAGATACTCAACATTAAGAAATATGAAATACTTATTTCAACTGACTCAAATGCAGTAAATGATAAAGATTTGAAATAATGTTATTTTCATAATTTGGTATTGGATAATATTCATCAAATTTTTAATTTAAATGATATAATTACAATAAAATAAAAATTTTATAATTTAGTTTCATGAAATAAAAATATCAATGCTTATTTCTATTTTCTTATAAAAATTGAGGAATTATTTATTAGTAATCAAATTGTAAATATTTAAAATTATGTGACCAATATAAAAAATTTTTAAAAATTAAGTGATCAAAATTTATTTATTTATTTCAAAATTTATAATATCATGTCAGCATATATTATGTGGCTCGTCAAATGGGGTGACAATAACATGTGGCACTGACAACTGATGTGGCACTATTAGATTTGCATACCATTAATCATTTATCATTGAGTGACCAAAATAAATATTTACTCAAATTTAAATGATTAAATTAAAAAAATTAATACTTATATGACAATCTCAAGAAGACCTTTAAAATTGAATAACTCTTGATAGATTTTTTTTTAATATTTTATTCATATAAATACTCAAATTTTCGCATTCATGTCTACTTTAAGCTGTTGTGTCTAGTTAAAGGTTCACTCGCTTATAGCTCTGGGTCAATTATGAGATTGTCTACAATGTTTGATAATTTTTGTGAGATTATCCTCTTCTAGTTCCTTGTTTGTTGACTTTTGTTGAGAAAAAAGTGAAAGAAAAAATATATTAAAAATATTTTGTAATTTATTATTATTATTATTATTAAATTACAGGTCATGATTAGTATTAAAAAGCATAAAAGAAAATTGAAATTAAAATCAATCAAGAGCAGTTACTTATTCTAAAATTGATTTAGACTTTCTAATCGTTTAAGTCACGCTTGATTTTGAACAATTTTTCAATAGTGACATTGATAGGACAATATACCACTAAGGTGACAATCGTGTCAAACTCTTGCCAATTCTATCACCAACCGGAAAAATTGCCTGAACAACTTGAATAATTCTTCCATCATACTAATCCAAGCTGGAATTTGTCGAGAGAACGATCAATTTTGATTGTAGCTTGGCTTCTTCGTATAGCTTTAGCCCTTTTGTTTGTTAATGCGGTGGTGAGGATTTTTGCTGCATTCGAGTTGTCGTTTCGATATTAAATTCATATCAAATAATATCTTAATTTTATTTATTGTTCTCTTAACAATTTTTTTGAATATTCTAACAAAATTATAATCACGTAACTCTGAATTCATGATAAAGTGTTTTATATTTGGTGTATGATGTTCATGTTTGTGATTTTTCATAAATCTAGAGCAAACAGGAATTTTTAACTTTAAAAGCCAACAGAGCTTGGTTAACTAATTGTAAATTTCGACAATATAATTTTGTTAAATGTGGACATTGAAATTAGTTCTAATAATTAATATATTTATATTTATTTATTTCGTATTTAATATTTATAAAAAAATAAAAATTATTATGCTGTAACTTATATTGATACATATGAGATATAATTTTTTATTTTTATTAAATATATAATTTTAATTAAAATTTTAAATTGTGGTTAAAATTTTCGGATATAATTGAAATGAACAAATTTGACAAAATGGAAACGTAATATTGTTTAAAGGATAAGTCAAGGCCTAATGTTAACCACCTAGTTACATTTTATAACTGGGCTTATCAACAGGGTTTGTGATCTTTCCCTGCTGAGCCGTAAGATTTTTACTACGTTAAAATCCAAACGAGGTTAACAACTTGAGAGGTTAAACACAAGATTATGAACAAAATATAGATAAAGTTTTTTATCTTTATTTTATAGTGATTTAATAAAAATTTTAATAAAACATTCAAAATGATTGATAGATAGAAAGAATTTAATATGAAAATTAATAATATGTACAAAATATTATTTAAAATATT